CACGATAACAATATCGTGCATATTCATTACCGTGATATATCGCATTACCGAATACCGGCACAAGTCTACGTGCAGGTGTGAATTAGTAGAAGGCGATCAATCGTTTCGTGCTCGGTGTGAAAGCAATGTTCGTCGGCGATTCGCCTCGCTTTTTCGCATCGCGCTGAGTGTGAAACGGCCTTAAGTCCGGCACAAGTCTACGTGCAGGTGTGAATTAGTAGAAGGCGATCAATCGTTTCGTGCTTGGTGTGAAAGCAATGTTCGTCGGCGATTCGCCTCGCTTTTTCGCATCGCGCTGAGTGTGAAACGGCCTTAACAGTGGATTACTATACTGTGAGACTATGAATTTCTAATTATGTTCATGCATTCCTTCATTATAAGTGCCTTATTTCAACTGTTTTTTTCTGTCATAATGTGTATTGTATTAAATAGAAAAAGTTCTTTTAAAACTCATCACATGAATTACTGACTCCCCCTGTTGGCTGGTCTTTGTTAACTGCTCATGGCCTATCCAATGGGCTGAAGACTATGCTGAATAAGACTGGCAGGTCTTGCTAAGCCCCCCTCTCTCCCTGGACTGCTGTCTTCACTAAAATGTGCTCTTTGACTCCCCCCAGCATCATTGTGAGGAGGACAATTACTGGAGTTCGAGCAGAGGGGTATTGGAGTCAACTAAAACTAAAACCATAAAAAAGCATTTTGTTACTTGAAATAAAATAACCTTGAACTGAAATAAAATCAAATATAAATAAAAAAAACTATACTTATTTCACATAGTTGCCAAAGCAACACTTTTCATTTAGTTGACGTTCTAAAATAACTAAAACTAAACAAAAAATGTATGAAAACTATATAGCTATAATTAAAAAAAAACTAAAACGAACAAAAATGACAAAAAACAACAACAGAATTAAAACTTCAAATAAAATTAAAGACTAATTCAAAATATTAATTAAAAACTATATAGTTGTGCAAGCAAACAAGACTTTTGATATTCTGCACACAAATTTACAAATATCTACTTACAAATCATTTCCATTCTCTTCATATGCATCAGGGAAGTAGTCTTCTCTGTCTAGAATCTCCTGATATTTGTCTGAGTATTCTGTGGTGGGGGAAAAAAACAGGACTGATAAGCAAAATAGTAGATTAGTAGTAAATACAGTAATTATCAATATATTAAAAATTCATAATAATATAAAAATAAATGTAAATATAAATATAAAAATAATTTAAAAAAATGTTCTGACATGTTATGGTAATGAGAATGGGGAATAAAAAATAAAAAATTAATTAATTAAAACATACTTAATTTTATGAAAATAAATGAAGTAATGCAAGTCTTAATACTCCTAAAACAGGCTTTCTTTTTTCCCTCAAAATGTAATTTCTGATTTTCTTTTGATTTTGAACTCGAACACGGTTTTGCGACATTCACCCACTTAATAAAACATGAGTAAGACTGTAGATGGGTCACAGCAGACTAAAGCCGCTGCCGATGCTCACCAGGATCTGCTGCTGTAAAAGGCGTCCCATCCGCCGTGTAGAAGGTTGGTTCATTCTGGGAGCAAAACCATGACAGAAACACATTAAGGGTGTGTTCACACTTGTCATGTTTGGTTCGATTAAAACGAACTCTGGTGCGATTGCTCTGTTAGTGCGGTTCGTTTGAGTAAGTGTGAACGCTGCCATCCGAACCCTGGTGCGCACCAAACAAGCGGACCGAGACTGCTAAAAAGATGGGTCTCGGTCCGCTTCCAAACGAACTCTGGTGCGGTTCGAATGAAATATGAACGCAACATGGACCAAATACTTATAAACGAACCAAAAACAGGAAGTAATGACAAGATGATTGATTTCATAAAATTGGTATCGAAAAAAGTATCGTTCAGGAACCGGTATCGAAGTCAAGGTATCGGTATCAATATCGAAAAATTTTGAACGATACCCAGCCCTAGGTGTAACCAAAACAAAATTAGCAGAGGGCAAACGTGGAGCAACGAGGAGTTAAAGTACCTTTCATGAGCTCCTTGTGAGTTTGAAATAAAATGATATGTAGCGCACACGCAAGAATGAGCACACTTAGTCCAGCAGACGGCATTAGGTGTGTTCACGATATATACGCCATTCAAGCCGACCAATCAGGTTGTGAACGTATCACTATGCCTTTAGGTTCGGTGTCTTTAGGTTCACTGTCAAAAATGCCAATGTGAACACTAAGCAGACCAGGACCAAATGTATCATTTTCCTTTTTGGTCCGGACCAAATGAACAATGAACCAAACGAACCGAACTACAAGTGTGAACACACCCTAAGAGAGGCGACAAAATATGAATGCTGTCACAGATTACATATTTTACTCCAAAACCTCAATGAATGCATTTGATTTCTTTGCCATTACGCACCATAAAGTAGTTGGGGTCATTGTCTGGTGTAGCGTCACTGGACACACTTGCTGTGTGAACTCGACCCCAGTTACTGGACTGTAACTCCACCAGTTTCAACAGCATCTGCTTGACATCTCTACAAACGCACACATACAGTAAACATCAATAAAAACAGATACTGTAAACATCAATAATGCAATTGTACTGCTTTCAGCAATCTAAGAGCTGTTCACACTGACAGTGACATTCAGCAACAAAACAAATGGAAGTTGGCGATTTCCAGCGTCATGAGCAACAACTGTTGGCAATGCAACTCAACTTTATGTAAATGTACGATAATAAGCAATAGGAGTGCAGACAGTGATGCTCATAAACCTCAATACTACATACATATATACCAGTGTTGTTTTAGTGTCACTGCACTCTCAGAAAAGTCTGTAAAAATACATCCCAATGTACTGTGTTAAAATAAAGGAATTTTCCATACTTATTTTTTCACAGGTGTCTTACCAATATTTTGCATTATGCATTGCATTGTGTTGTGTCTTATGGTTGAAGGAAATGTCCATAAATTAAATGGAAAATGTACTGGTAATTTTCTGCCAGTAAACCTTTTTCTTACAGTGCATTATAGTTTTTATTAATATTTTTAAATGAGTTTTCATTTTATATTTTTGTAATTTTGTTGCATTTTTTTATTTTTTTGCTGTTTTTATGTCTATACAGTTTTTCTTTATTTTTATGTCAGTTTTAATTGGAGTTATTTTAGTACATCAAGTTAAACGAAACTGAAATGAGGAATGCTGTCTTTGGCATGCATGCATGCATAAATAAATAAATAAATATTTTATTTAACTTCTGTTTTAGTCAAGCAACAAACATGTTTTTTATGGTTTTAGTTTTAGTGAACTACAATTCCGTTGATATACCGCAAGCTAAAGATTTCCAAAAACAATCTATTGTTGCCTGACTCGCTCACCGGCTGCATTTGACATCCAGCAAAACGTCTTCAATCTTCTTGATTATCTCATCCATGTCTGACTGGCCTTTCTCCTTCCATGTGTCATCCAGAATGGAACCGCTCAGCTTGTCGAATCAGTACAGTAAAACAATGCTAGTCAACACCAACAGTATAGTACTGCATTATTATCTGCAGATTGATTGATTATCTCATTTCAGTTCTTTTAATTAAATTTCAAAATCTTTGTTTACATTAGGATTAGTGTCAGTAATGATCTTAAGTTGAGTCCTGAGGTTACCTGATAACTCCTACAGACTATTAAACAGTGCATTTGCTATGAAACAGCACCAATTAGTGCAGCTTCAATGTATTCAAAGTGGAACACAGCAAACCTTAAGTAATTTGACAGCACACATTAGGTTGGGGTCATCTGCGTGAGAGAATAATGTGTTCAAAAGTTCCTTTAGCGCTCCCAGTAAGACGTTAGCTCGCCCGGGTGTGTCCTTTCTACTTTTTATCTGAAAGACATTAAAGAATTGAAATCTAAAATTGTAGTCGTTCATACTTTTGCTTACAAAATAAAAATATACAGTACAGCTACAGTTGAATAATCAGCTACAATTCTGGAAAAAATAAAATAAAATTCAACATGTAACTATAACGTAAACATTACAAAATCTTACATATGAATTCAAGCAGATACATATGTCAGGATTTATATACTATGTTACGCAAAGGAGTTGATATTAAAGGGTTAGTTCACCCAAAAATGAAAATTAGCCCATGAATTACTCACCCTCAAGGCATCCTAGGTGTATATGACTTTCTTCTTTCAGACGAATCCAGTCGGAGTTATATTAAAAATTGTCTTTGATCTTTCAAGCTGTTTAATGGCACTCAGCGGGTGTTGCATGCTTCAGTCCAAAAGAAGTGAAATAAAGCGCATCCATCCATAATAAAAACACGGCTCTAAACGTAATAATCAATTTAATCTAGCTTGCACTCACTGTTGTACACGGAAGCAGCTCCGGGCGGATGACATTTTGATAATCGATTAATCTAACGATTATTAGAACGATGAATCGACTAATCGTCGATTATTTCACGGATTAATCAGTAGACATTTTTTTATTATTCATCTTTTGCAATTAGTTAAAATATTGAGTTATACATATTCTAACAAATAAATTAAGATAATCACTTCACAGTGTACAACTGTTGCCGCAAGCTAGATTAAAGCGATTATTACGTTTTGAATATGGATATTTTTCTTACAAAAACGCATCGATTCGCTACAGGAGGCCTTTGTT